ATCATCTTTGATGTCATTATTCACATTTTGTTATTACTCCTGTCTTTCCTCTTCATTTTGTTTGCAACTTCTACTTATTTCCTTTCGTAGAGACTTGCTTTTCCTTTGTTTTGCCTTGATTTTATATTGCTGAACAATATCTTTAGCATAGGAGAATGACCTTACTCTGATATATAAGCTTACAATGTTGTGCAAAACATCTTTTTGGACATGACTGTATGAATCACAGTCTGCCTCGGATACAATTAGTTGATAGTTGGCCAAGACATCACTGTCTGTAGTTGAGGTTTTGGTAATTCCAACAATGTCAATTCTCTGTAAACCAGCTTTTGAAGTTGATTGCCTGAAATATTCATCAGTCTTCAAAAAGATCTTAAAAGCTGGCAATGTAACTGTCCAGAGCCCCCCTCTGTTCAAGCTTGAAATCAGTTCCTGTTCCTGTGTGTTCAAGTTCATGCTATTCAGTTTTCCAGCCTTAAGGATGGTCATCGCTTGTTGGCTTTCAATAGAGTTAACTTTACGATATTTCTTGTGCAGGTTTTGCAACACATAACCGCTCACATATTGTAGCCCAGCCTTTTGTTTGTCTGTCAATTCATGGATGGACTCATTGCTTACAGAAGATAACTTCTGTTTTTTTTGAGTTTGCAATCATAGTGTCTGCCACCTTGGTTGCCAACAATGTTGCTGCATTCCGTGTGAGTCCTTTGAAGTACTTGGTGGCATTCAATGCAACAGTTCCATAAAAATTAGAATAAAACTTTTCAAGATCTCCTTTCTTTCTTAGTGATTCATAGATTGTTTTGAGATAAAAGAATTCATCAGATCTTTCCTCTAATTCAAATATGAATACAGTCAGCTCATTCTTTATGCTTAAATTGAACACCTTCCTTTCTTTAATACTCTGTACAGCACTGTTCACCATCTCGGCGAGAAGGCTGGTTGTGAACATTGTAACGGACTCACTTTCGGTGTTCCCATGTTTTGCGGTCCTGTGTCTCCCATATCCACCTTTGGTTTTGTAGCTTTTCCCACATTCACAAACGATATGAAAAGTCTGGGCCTAAAAAAAGGGTATAATAATGAATACACTGAATACATAGCATATAATAATGTAGAAAGTTCAGAGTTAGCAAAGTCTAGGCAAGAAATTGTTGTAGCAAAGGGTCGATTATAGGGAAACATCGTTCATGGTTTTGAGATCATTTTTCTTTGTTTTTGACTTCAATTTACTTTTTAAATAATTGATAAATGTACTGAGCTTAAAATGCTGCAAAAGGCCTACACATTTCATGCTATTTTTACTGGCTGTATAAATGCAAAATACAAGAAAGTCGTGACTGTTTACAGAAACATTTTGAACACTTTCGAGTGTATTTGTCGATAATTCGAGTCAAAAATACAATCTTCAACACTTACCAGGTTCACTGCTGCCGTGAAGTCATCTTGTATTCTCTCATAGCTTCTAAATCATCACCAAACATGAACAGTGCGTCTATCTTGTCCGCCATATTGCTTTATGATGTGCAGGGTCAGGATCACGTGATGGACCCGTTCAACCTCAAAAGCGAAACAATAGGCCGGCCTTTGAAGTTTGCCGGGTTTCATAACCAGTTCCCCTCTACTAACTATGGCTACATCAAGCACTTAAACACACAAGCATTTACATACGTACGTAACAAACTATTAATAGCAACATGTACGCGAATAGGTTTCTGATTATTTATCTGGAGGCGCCAGTAAATCATTCCTTCTGTTGGACACGTCACACGATCTCAGTTCACACATTTTCACAAAGATAACTATCATGTCGAATAAATTGCAGTTGAGCCTACGAATCTTCAAGTTATAGGATAAAAGCCGATAATTCTGGTTACCGCGTCTGTTGTCTTTTTATGACAAAAAAATAAATAAAAGAATAGGATGTTATTCTTAGCGAAAGCGAGCGAAAGCACGCAAACTTACTATTCGTAACAGGACAGTCCGCATGATGCGTTGTTATGGTAACCTTTGCTTGAAGGCTTAAATCCTTACAATCATTAGACAAGCAGTCACTAGAACATCGAAAATGGAGAAAGAAGAACATGCTATGGAATTTACAGAAAAAGCAAGTGCGCATGGAATAGTTGACAGTGTAAAGAAATTTCTTGAAAGTGGCTGCAAATGCTCACGTCGTCCGAAGGATGACCCCTGCTCATCGCAGTTTACGGAAGAAGAAGTCATGGCAAATTTAAACAACTGCCTCGAACTGTCCACCAAAGGAACTCGACCTGGTCATCTTAGCAAACATACAAGCTGTAACCCGTTTCAAAAATATCGGAGAGAAAAGGAGCAGAAGCCCTCCCTGTAATTATTTAATGTAATATTTATAGCAGCTTGGCCAGTGTCCTTTATACTGAACATAATCTAAAACTGCAAGCCCAAGAGGGGGGGGGGAGGAACTCCCATATGAAAGGGTGGGGATGCTCGTCGTCTCGCCTAGGGGTGTAAATTGCAGATT